GATTCATCAAATTGTAGTAATTTACCTTTGTTACCTTTATCAAAAAAATATTTGTGTGTGTGTGTGTAATCTTCCCCTAGTCGAGTTCTGATTATCAAGCCATCGAGGCTAGGTCAAGTGGGTACTGTCTGCAAGTTTGGGAGTTCTTGTGCATCTCCCCTCACTTCATATCAGCTGGATGCTTCACTCTCAGCTCTAGCCCTCTGTGGCTATGTCCTTGTCCATGGGCTCAAGTGTCCCCAGGTCTCACCACACTTTGGACCAACCAGCCCTTCATTTTCTCTCTCTCATTTCCAGGTCAACGAGAGTCAATGAACCATGGTTGAACTCAGCCAATTTCTTCATTGGTGCCTTTCCGCCTTTTCCACTCACCAGTAGACCAGTGTGGTTGCCAGCATGCTTACATGCCTGTTCATGTGTTCCCTCTGAGTTTCAGTCTTAGAAACGAGTTTGTCCCGAAGAAATCTGATTGCTTGCCTTGATGGCTTCCTGGAAAACAGCTTGCTTATTCTTGTAGTAACCAGTCATGCTGACATTTTTGTTTTGGTTTTTCCTGATGATCTTTCTTTGAAGATGGATCTTCTGTTGCTCTAGCTGTTCCAGGCTGGTCTGCTTGTCATTGCTAGTGGGAATATCCCACCTTAGAAGGTTCTGAATGGGACTCAGGATTCCACCTAAGGTCCTATACTCTGCAAAGGCTTTGCAAGAGGCCTATTTCACTTGGCAAGTTCTAGAACCCGTTTTAGGTATTCCAGTTATAGGCTGAAGACGGGCTTACAAGTTTTCTGTAATCATGTTTCCCAACATTCCTTTAGATCCTACTCAAGTGTCTATTTTACAATAGTAGGCAAGGGAAACTAATATTCATAAGACAGTCAAACATTTTAGTATTATTTCCCCTCTTCAGACTATGCCTAGATCCTTGTATCACAGGGCTCTGTTGTTCCAAGTTTGAGCATACATCACTATTTACCTCAGTCCTACTTAGGCCATGTAAAACTGTCTCAGTGTTCCCCTGTCTATCTTGTTCTTCGACCTCCTCCCCCTTTTTGTATTGCCCTCCCCAACACCCGAACTAAACCCCCCACCTCAATCCTACTATTGTAGTTACCTTATATTCTATTAACTCTTCCCTCCATTTAAGACAGTCTATTTTATGCTGTAATCTACCTGACCTTCTTACCACCTGGATCTCTGTTCCTCTGTGTTTACCATCTTTCACATTGTAATTGTTTTGATCATAGACTGACCTCCCAAATCCTCTGTTCTTATAATTTTATTCTCTTCTTGACTCTTCCATTTGTCAATTGAGTTCAGGGTGATGCTGAAACGTACGTCATTCTGTAGTTGTTGTGTGTTCTTGTTGGTTCTCAGTTCACAGAACTTCCTTTAGGATGTTTTTCATAGCAGGGTTGGCTTTGGCAAAATTCCTTAGCTTCTGTTTATCTTGGAATGTTTTGATTACATCATTGTATTTGATTGACAGCTTTGCTGGGTAGTGGATTCTTGGTTGGCAGTTTTTTCTTTCAGGGTTTTATGTGTGTCTCCCCATTGCCTTCTTTTTTTTTTTTTTTAAGGTTTTTATTGTGGATTGAGTGAAAGCTCAACTATTCATATGACTTCTTTCATTACATTGATTATAATCCCCTCCATATATCATCAGTTAACAGTGTTTCTCTTTATCCTCTTTAGTGTTTTTTTTGGGGGGGGGTGGGGGTTGGGAAACTTTGCCTTTTTGGAATTTACATTCTTGGCTTTTAGGGAAGGTTTTTACATTTATCTGTGGATATCCAGGGCTCATGTATGTGATTACTAACAAGCGTAACTGAATAATCAGATGAGAGACAGTTTGCTATGTCTGCTGGGTGGCTCCCCATTGCCTTCTTGCCTTCATGTTTTCTGCTGAGAGATCTGAGCTTAATCTGATGTACTTGCCTTTGTATGTTACACTTCTCTTTTCCCTAGCTGCTCTCAGGATTCTGTCCTTGTTTTTGATTTTGGAAAGCTTGATTATGATATTTCTAGGTGATTTTCTTTTATGGTCTATCGTTTCTGGAGTTCATTGAGCTTCTTGAATGCTTATCTTTTCGCTTTTCAAGATGTTAGGAAAATTTTCTTCCAGCAGCTCTTCAACTGTCTTGTCTGTGGACTTGTGTGATTCTTCCTGTTCCAGAATGTCGTTAATTCTTAAGTTATTCCTCTTCATGTTGTCCAAAATGAATCTTAGGCCTTCTTCAGATTTTTTAATCCTTTTTTGTGTTTGCTCTTCTATCTTAGTAATGTTGAGAGATTTATCTTCTAGCTGACTAGTTCTGGCTTCTATCTCTTCAATTCTATTCCTTTGCCCTTTCAGTGTGTTGTCTATTTCTGATATTCTGTTATTAATCGTTTGGACCTCTTTCTGTAGATTTTGAATTGTTTACAATGCTGTATCTATCTTAATTGATTGTTCCTGTAGTGCATTCCTGACTTCTTCCTTATTTTTCTCAACTCCATTATATAGTGTTTTGATACATTTTATAATCATTTTTCTGAATTTCTTCTCAGGCATTTCCAAAGCCTGCTCATCTTCCAGTATGTAGTGTAGGTCTACCTCCAGTTCATTTGCCTCAGTCACTTTATCTTGTTTCTGGACATAACCTGATATGGTCATCTGTTTTTTGTTTTTTTTTTGGGGGGGGGCATAATCAGGAGTTATCTGTGGACTTATTATTTAGATGGGTATGTATTTTGGTATTTTTTTTATGCTTTCTGATTTCCTCCAGGTAGATGTGATCAGGAGATGGGCTTCCCTTTTCACTCTTCTTCCTGAGAAATTTAAAGATGTCACTGTTGGTCATTGTGACATAACTCAGGATTTAATTTTTGGCCTTTTTCCTTTTCAGTCTGCCTGTCTCACTCTACAATCTCCATTCAGGCCTTTTCCCTATTGATAAACAGTTCAGGGTGAGCTATGGCTGTTTTTCACTGCCTTTTGGTTTTAAATGGAAACTGCCACTTTAAATTTCACGTAGATCTGTGTGCGTGTGTAGTGGAACCCTCCAGGGTTGGGGATGGGGTGTGCATTTGCTCAGGCACCCCCTCTAATCACCAAAATGATGTGTGCAGACAGTGGGAGACCCATGAACAGATACAAAAAAAAGAATGTCCACACTTTTGTCTTCATGGTTCTGTCAGGTGTCCGTGGCTTCTCTGATCCTTCCCCCACTTGGTCTCTCCTAAGATGGTGGCTCCTGGAGCAGCTGAGCGTCCCGAACTAGAAAGCAATGGATTTCTTGCTTCTGCCACAAATTCCCCTAGTTGTAAGCCTTCCAACCTTCTAAATATTCCTTTATATGTGGTTCAGAGTTCTGGCACCATCCCCTGAGTCTGCTTGGTCTGGTATTCTGTGTTGTTGTTGATGGAGCTCCTCACTGCACATCTACCCAATCTACCCTCTTGTTTGTTCCCAGGTTTACTATCTTATACAATGTTTGTTTAATTGCCTTGTAATCCCTTCAGTTAAGAATCCTATTTATCCCGTAATATATACTCATTGTCTCTAAGGAACCCATGTAATCTTAACCATGCTTGCTGTTTTTTACTTTGTTCTTTGCTTCTACTTCTATTTAGAACTTCAGTTTATGTCCTTTATCCTCGAATATTCAGTAGATAAAACTTGCTTCTGTAGGTTAGTAAAGAAGAGAAAATATGGCAAAAGAATAGTAGACATTAAAATTCAGCTTAAAAATAGACATCACATTTGCATTGTTGTTGTTAGATGTCATCAAGTTGATTCCAAATTTTAGCAATTGCAACAGAATGAAACACTGCTTGGCTTTGCACCATCCTTCCATTTATTGCTATGTTTGAGCCCATTGTTGCTGCCAATGTGTCTATCCATCTCATTTGGATCTTCTTCTTTTTCAATGAACCTCCTTTTTTCCAATTATAATGTCTTTCTCCAGGGACTTGTCCCTCCTGATAATATTCCAAAGTATGAGAGACGGAAGTCTCTCCTTCCTAGCTCCTAAGGAACATTCTGACACACTTCTTCCAAGACAGATTTGTTTGTTTTTCTGGCAGACCATGGTACTTACAATATTCTTCTCCATAACCATAATTCAAATGCGTTGATTCTTTTGTATTTTTCCTTTTTCAATGTTCAGCTCTTACATGCATATTAGATGATTGAAAATACTGTGGCTTGGGTCCTCAAACTGACATCTTTGCTCTTGAACATTTTAAAAGGTCTCTTGCAGCATATATAAATTATATGTATAACTATGCAGCTCTGGTAGTGTAGTGCCTATGAGTTGGGCTGCTAGTCTCAAGGTCAACAGTTTGAAGCTACCAGCAGTTCCACCGGAGAAAGATAAGACTTTCCGCTCCCATAAAGATTTACAGCCTCAGAAACCCTATTCAGCATTGCTTTGAGTCGAAACTGACTCCACAGCACACAACCCAATTACCATGGTAGTATTTGGGGTCCTGGTGTGGCACTGTAGGATAAGTACTGGATTGTTAACTACAGAGTCAGTGGTTCAAATCCATAAGCTGCTCCTTGGAAACCCTGTACAGGGTCATTATGAGTCGAAACGGAGTCCACTGCACTTAACAACAGTATGGTAATATTTAGTTGACACAATTTTCTTTGTACTTTAATGCAGCAGTCTTCTAGGGAAGACCAATCTTAAATGTAAGAGTGAAGAATGCATTCATTGGGACAATTACTTGCCATTTTGCTTACCTTTTCTAAGGGTCACTGAAGCTGTCTCCATGACTGGGTAGTGGGGAACAATACCTCTGAAGCTTGACCATTTCCACATAGCCATAGTCTGTTAGCAGCTGGGCAGTCATCTAAAATCAGCACTGGTCATATTCTCATGAATACTTTTAAACACCTCTCTTGGACTTAGTATTTGTAAACTATTTTTTAGCGAGATATACTCAATCATAACTTTTTAAATTGACTTCTGATCATTAAAAATTGATTCGGTTTTTATTTTTATTTTTTCCAGGTGTATGGTAGCTGATGAAGTAAGTGTTTTACTGATTTTCCTGTCTTTTAAAATATTCCATAACAAAGTTTGAATGTCCATATGTCATTCTTTCTCCATATGTGTACATGTCTGTATGTGGATAGAAGGAAAGGGGAAAGTAAAATGGAGTGGGGGAAGGATGAATGAGTGTGTATGCATGGAACATGTGCTAATATTAGCATGACTGATCCTTTTTGTTTTATATTGCCAGCACTCATGAATTCATTTTTAAATGTAGCCCCAAACAAAATTGAACTGTTTTATACCTTTCACAATACTGCTTGTTAAAGGGTTAAAAACTAAACGTTAAGATTTTTTTGAAGTTTATTTTCAAATGTTTTCTATGAAACTAAGATATTTGAGACATAGTCTAAAAGGGTATATTATTATCATAAAGTTATTTTGTATATTTGAGTGACATGTTTTTCAATATACCCATATTTTATCACTGAAATGAAAGTTCTTGCTATATGGACTGCGATAATCTTTATAGATGTTCTAAGAGAAATGTAAATCAATGAAATTTTAATTTCTAATATCTGTTTGAGAATCTGTTGGTGTTTCTCACTTGAGGGTTTATTAGAAATGAAGAAAATGGAGACTGAAACTTTAAAGAATACAAGTGGAATTATATATATTAAGAAAATCTCTTAATAGTTGTTTACTTAAGATAAACTTTTAGTGTTAGTAGCATATAGACACTCACCAATGGCTCATCTCCATGAGCCATTTCAATCACCTCATATATATGTAAAAGCTGGACATTGAATAAGGAAAACTACAGAAGAATCAGTGCATTTGAATTATGGTTATGGTGAAGAATATTGTAAGTACCATGGCCTGCCAGAAGAACAAACAAATCTGATCTCTCATCTGTTGGAAAGAAATGCTGTATCATTAATTTTAGGAGATAGGGTTCTTTGGTTTAAGCTGATTAATTACCTAAGTTTTTAGAGTGAACTTTTCATTCTATGGGCATTTATTTAGACTAGATATTGGAGTTAGAAATATAGTCATTGACTGTGAATATCTTCAGAAATAGAATTATAAAGATTTGAGAAACAACAGAAAAGTTTCTCTTTGGAAAAAGTGTCAAAACACGGTACATCATTAATGTATAGCTCATAATGACTGATAGAAGCATACATTTTTAGTCCCTAAATATGTTTTTACCAAATAAGAATGTAAACTCATCCTTTAGAACCTCAAATGTAGGCATAATCATTTAGTCTTACAGATATACACTTATTCTTTTAAAATTATATATTTGATGTATGTATGTGTATAATCGCTCCTTTTTTTTTAAAATGAACCAGTGGTTTTTTGTTTTTTTTTTTTTAATGAACAAGTATTTTTCAATATATTGAGAAAGGTAACATTATGCAGGATGATCGTGCAAGCAAGCATGTCATGGGGAAAGAATTAGCAACTGTGGTAGGGAATTGATAGCTTGTTTGTCACTGGGCTGTCTTAAAGTTTTTTTTATGGGCCTTAAATCTGTGTAGAAAGGAGCTCTGGTAGCGTAGTGGTTACAAATTGGACTGCAAACCTCAAGGTCAGCAGTTCGAAACTACCAGCTGTTCCACAGGAGAAAGATTAGGCGTTCTGCTCCCGTAAAGATTTACAGCCTTGGAAACCCTGTACATGGTTGCTGTGAGTTGGAGCCGACTCCACAGCACATAACAACAACAACAAATCTAAGTAGGAATTCTGGTGTGGTGCTGTGGGTTAATGTGCTGGACTGCAAGGTCAGTTTGGGCCTCAGGATTGGCGGTTCAGTCTCACCAGCTGCTCCTTGGGAACCCTATACAGTGTCGCTACAAATTGGAACCGATTTGACGGTACTTAACAACAACGTAATTATCCATAGAATAGGATAAAAGTTTGATCAGCACCTTAACCTTCCTTAACTTTTATGTTCTCCAAGTTAACTGTTATTGTTTGGTGCCATCAAACTCCAACTCACAGTGACCTGATGCACAACAGAAGAAAACACTACCCAGTTCTTTGCCATACTCACAGTTGTGTTGTTTGAGCCCATTGCTGCTGCCACTTTATCAGTCCTTCTCCCTTGGGTCTTCCTCTTTTCAGTGACCGTTCTCTTCAACAAGCACAATGGCCATCTCCAGAGACTGGTCCTTCCTGACAACATGTCCAAAGAATGAGAGACAAAGACCATCCTTGCTTGTAAAGATGGTTGTGTCCATACTTCTTTCAAGACAAATTTGTTTGTTCTGGCATTCCACAGTACTTGGTATATTCTAACACCATAAATCAAACGAATTTATTCTTCTATGATCTTCCTTATTCACTGTCCAACTTTCACATGCATTTAAGGTAATTGAAAGTACCACGTTTGGGTTAGATGTCTTTTGGCAGCATTTTTGCCTAAATGCAATGTCTTTTGATTTCTTGACTGCTGCTTCTATTGAGTTTTGATTGTAGAATAAAGCAAAATGAAGTCTTTGAAACTTCAAAGTTTTCTATATATATCATGATGTTATTTATTGGACCAGTTGTGAGGATTTTCATTTTCTTTACATTAAGGTGCAATCCATACAGAAGGTTATGTTCTTTATCTTCTTCGGTAGTTCAAGTCCTCTTCACTTCCATCAAGCAAAGTTATGTTGTATGCATATCGCATATTGTTAATTAGTTTTCCTTCAATCCTGACGGAAATCCAGTTCTTATTCATATAATTCAGTTTCTTGGATTACTTGCCCAGCATACAGATTGAATAAATTTGTTGGAAGGCTACATCTCTGGCACACATTTTTCCTGATTTTAAACCATTCAGTATCTCTTAGTTCTGTTTTAACTATTGCCTCTTGTTCTATGTGCACGTTCTTCATGAACACAGTGAAATTTTCTGGAATACCCATTCTTTGCAATATTTATCCATAGTTTGCTATGATTCACACAGTCGAATGCCTTTGAGTCATCAGTAAAACACAAGTAAACATTTTTCTGGTATTCTCTCCTTTCAGCCCAGATCCATCTGACGTCAACAATGACATCCCTAGTTCTTTATCCTCTTCTGAATCTGGCTTGAAATTCTGGAAGCTTCCTGTTGATGTACTACTGCAATAATTTTTTAATTATCTCTACTTGTGTTTGATATTAATGATAGTTTTGATGATTTCCACTTTCTGTTGGGTCACCTTTCTTTGTAACGGGCACAAATATTGATCTCTTCCAGTCAGTTGGCTAGGTAGCTGCCTTCCAAATTTCTTGAAATTGATGAGTAAAGTGCCTTCTGTATTTATCAGTTTGCTGAAACATTTCAATGATCAGTTCATCAATTTCTAAGCCCTGTTGTGTTTTTTTTTAAGTTTTTATTGTGGATTGAGTGAAAGTTTACAGGGCAGATCATTAGTTTTACATTCAACAAATCATACACCTTGTTTCATTATAATGATTATAATCCCCTCCATGTGCCATCACTTAACAGCATTTCTCTCCATTCACTTTAGCTTTTTTTTTTTTCCAAAAAAACCCCACAACAAACCGCACTCAGGCATATATAATAATTTACACCTCCAAAGGGCACATTCATCATGTCTCCTAGCCACCAGCTCTTAGTCCCTCTCTACCCAGGAATCTAGAGTCCTCAGCCGCTCCGCCTTCTCCATGACCACATCTCTGTCTCTGTCTCTGGCATCACTGCTTCTCTGGATAAGGTCCCGCATTCTGCTGTGGTCTTCTCCCTTGATGGTCCAAGGGTCCTCTGTTTCTGGACTGTAAGATTAACCACCCCCCTGTTTTTGTTACAAAACTTTTACCTTTTCAATTGTGACAATCACAATTAATCATGATAACAATTATTCACTATTGAATCATACAATCTTATCCCCCATTTCTTTTCACCAGACTCATCGCGGACTCTTTCTTTCCCCCCATACTCTTAAACTTAAACTCACTCTTGAAACCTTGTAAGCCAGTCACTTCTTGCCTTTATTGCCCCCTCATTTTAGGTAGTCAATGTCTAAGTTGCCGGCCCCCGTCAACCTTGTGCACAGAGGGGATAGCATTGATACTTGATGTGAAGACTCCTTCCCTCTCTGTTGGTATTTAGAGTTACTACCACCATGAGTATAGGTCAGGTTCATCAAATTGTAACAATTTACCCTTGTTTCCTTTATCAAAAAAAAAATTTTTTTTTAAAAAAAAATCCTCCTGTAGTCAAGTTCTGATAATCAAGCCATTGAGGCTAGGTCAAATGGGTACTGTCTGCAAGTTTGGGTGTTCTTGTGCATCTCCACTCACTTCATATCAGCTGGATGCTTCACTCTCAGCTCTAGCCATCTGTGGTCATGTCCCTGTTCATGGGCTCAAGTTTGAAATATTGAAGGACTCAATGAGCAGTCCAAAAAAAAAAGGATTCCACTTCTCTCTCTCATCTCCAGGTCAACGGGAGTCAATGGACTGCAGTAGAACTCAGCCCATTTCTTTATCGCTGCCTTTCCCCCTCTTCCACTCACCAGTAGACCATTGTGGTCACCAGCAAGCTTTCGTGCCTGCTTGTGTGTTCCCTTTGAGTTTCAGTCTTAGAGGGGAGTTTGTCCTGAAGGAACGTGATTGCTTGCTTTGATGCTAAGCCCTGTTTTTTGCCAATACTTCAGTGCAGTTTGGTTCTTGAATCTATTGTATATCTAAGTGACTGAACATCAACCAATTCTTTTTGGTATAGTAACTTTGTGTATTCCATTCATCTTCATTTTAAGTTTCCTGTATCATTCATTATTTTGCTCATGGAATCCTTCAGTCTTCTAAACTGAGGCTTGAATATTGAAGGTCTTTTATTTAGAGACATTCTAAACCTGTTCTTGCATTTTTGCTTTCTAAATGCGGGTCTTTACACATCTCATTGTAATACTTGACTTTTTCATCTCAGATTGTCCTTTGAAAAATTTTGTTCAGCTCTTTTCATCATTTCTTCTAGTTGCTTTAGATTCTGTATATTCAAGAGCAAGTTTGAGTCTTTTCTGACATCCATTT